CAAAGATTATTTTTGAAATGTTCTTTACAATGGAGTTCAATAATACAATTTGATTTTTTTAAGCAGGAAGACTATCTCAAGGAAGTGAATTTAAAGACTATGCCTGATACGTTTGCATAAAGGCCCAAAAATGTGAAAAGCTTATGTGAAACTTTGTATTTATTCTAGTTTATTTCTTATATGCAAAAACAACTCAAAGCTAACTCATGCCAAGAAGAAATGCCTCAAATTGCCCTATTTCCATCTGCATCAGACGCACGGCCTCACTCATCGCTAAGACAAGCTGTGTGCGTCTCCACACGGTCAGGAGCCACACACGTCTAAATTCCTGATCCATGGCTGACCATGAAAGCTCTCTACAACATGTGGCATTTCAAGAGTGGTAGCACACTGCCCTTGAAAATATAAGCTATACACACCTGTTATGATCTTCCTAGAATAGGACCAGGAGCCCTGACGCCCTATAATAAACTCAGTTTCTTGGCTTCAGAAATGCAGGGTAAAGAAAGGGCATCAGAGTATTTGTCCACTGAATTAAAAAATAATAATTTGAATTGCAGTATTATGTAACATGACACCATGTTTTATTATTAAATATACAATCTGATGAATTAAGAACATGCACAGGTCTGCATGACCATCATCACTCATTCCAAACTTTGATCATCCAATTAAACACTAAATTCCTACCTTTCCATCCTAGGCTGCGATGAAGCTTGGCCATGCAGCACTTGACTAGCACAATCGAAGCCCTAGGTTCAATCCTCAGTGCCCCACACACACATTATTCCCCCTCTTTCCCCTGTTAATACCCCTTCTATTTCCTATATCTTTGAATTTGCCTAACTACATGCCTAAGGAAAATGGAACTGTAGTGTTGTCTTTTTGTGTCTCATGTAACTTAACATTTTTTGGTAATTCATGCTATGTCACCTATCAGATTTCATTTTGCTTTATAGGTGAATAATATCCTATGGTACGTGTTCACCATTTTTGTTTATCCACTCACTTGTTGCCGAACACTGCCTTGCTTCTACATTTTGGCTGCTGTCAAATGTGCTGCTGTGAACACAGGCATGCCGTCTTTGCCTTCAGTTCTCCAGGATATAGACCTAGCAGTGTAATTCTCAGGCGACATGGGAAACCTATATTTAACTTTGTGAGAAGCTGCCGAACAATTGGTTATACAGCTGCCACACCACTACATCCACCAGCAATACTCACAGCTTCCAATTTTAGATCCTTGCCAACATTTACTGTCGTGCACTTCTTAAAATCATAAGCATGTATTCTGTTTTGTGATTTTGACTTTGATTTGGAGGGAACAGAATAAGCCCTGGTTTCCAGTTCTACCTCTGTTGTATGCTGTCAGTGTGGACTCTGATAAACCACACATTCTCTTTATACCTCAGTTCGCTCAGCTGTGGAAAATGTTTAGTATTTGCTTCTATGCTTCTTTGCACAGTATGCAGCCAATGAATACTGCACATGAATGAAACAGTATTTGTAACTCTATCGCTAGCAAGAGCATCCCTATTCTAAGACAGATGAGGCTATTTTCACATAAAGCCAAAATGGTAGCATGTGTGTTTACCTCCTCAGCTGTTAAACTTTTTAAATGGTAAACATAAGCATCATATATATTAATACTCGTAAGATTGATTATAAAGTGATCACCATGACCAAAGTTAAGTAACTGAACATTCACAGCATTTTCGAGTCCTGTATTAGAGCACCCTTCCTCCTCATGAGTTTAAACCATTATCTTTACCTTTACTTCCTTATTTACCCCTCAGGTATGTATGCCTTAAACATCAAATTTTAATTTTGACTATATTAAAGTAAATAGACAAATTGCATATTCCATCTCTCTTCTTATGCTCCACTTTATGCTCAAGAGGTATTCATGTGCTATATGGAGACAGATTTGTTCAGTATTAATGTTACACTCCATTATAATACCATAATACTCTAATATATGTATATTAGAGAAAATGTCTCCATTCATCTATGAATATTTGGATAGTTTCCAAACTTCAGGAATGTGAGTAAATTCTACTATGATCATTCTAACAAAAATACTGATGCTGACACCCACACACTGCTAAGAATTTACCTGGAGTAGAATAGTTGAAAAGAGTATGTTTAAGTATGTAAAGCTGGAATGTTTGTAACAAAGCCCGGTTTCCACTGTCACAAGTAGTGTAAGCAAGTTCCGGCCAACTCTTGGCATGCATGACTAGATATGCACTGTTTTTGTGACACTGTACTTCTCTGACCATCTCAGTTAGTTTAGATACTCTTTAAATATTTATTGATATATTTTTCAAATACTTTGTTTATATTAGTGGTCTGGGTTATCTGATAGAAATTTATACACATGCTTATATAATATGTACAATTTTTTTTTTATATTGTATGAGTTGCAAATCCTTTCCTCCATCCTGTGGCTTGTTTTTTTCCTGTTTAATAGGGTATTCTACAGGACATATGTTCTTAATTTTAATGTAACCAAATCTATTCATCTTTTCACTTATGGTTAAGCATTTTAATACTATTATTATAACTACTGCACATTTGAAATAATGAAACTAGTCTCCTGTATGCAGAAACACTTAGTTTTTTATGTGCATTTACTCAGCTCATTAGGAAATGGTTTTGGTTTATGTAATGGATAAAAACAAGTTTTCTTTAACTATCATTATTTAGCAGCCTAATTATTCTATCACTATTTATTTAAACAAACTTTTTTTGCCCATTTTTTAAATTAAAAAAAGTGGATCTTCTCTTGTCATAAATCTAGTTGGCAAATAGGCCTATTTTGATTTATAGTTTTTGAAAACAGTTCCATTAGTTCATTTGTCTATCCCTTTACCCATTTTACATTATCTTAACTATCTTTATCTTTCTTAAAACACAGAAGTTAGCACACAAAAGCTAGTGGAACCTCCCACTTCATGGGTCTATTTCAAGATTATCTTACCTATTCTGTTTTCTTTGTTTTGGTGTATTATGAATGCAAAAACAAGAATTGGTCAAATGTTTCCCCTACCAAAATGTTTATAAAATAAACATTTGTTGGAAATTATAGTAAGATTACATTGAATTCATAGATGCGTGGAACTATTTGAGAACAACTGACACAGTCACAATGATGATAACTCTCATGATGTTTAAATAGGAATTCAACAATGACTGTCATATTGTGCACTGTTGTCCCTAAATTAGTTGTCTGGATTGCCAGAAATAACCATGTAAGATTGGTCCAAAAATTAACAAGGAGAAAATAAACTTAAGCATTAACTGTTTCTTTCAGTGGACCAGCAGAAATCAGCAGTTCAATTATCCTAGTTATCCTTTGTATATGCATACATGCTTCTTTTCTCCTTCCTTCTTTCTTTCTTTCTTCTTTTCCCTCATCCATGCCATTTCTTCCCTGGAACAATTTCTTTCCCTTTCACAATATCCACTATACCTTTCAGGTCCCACTTACTCTTTCCGAGCACTTATCACCAGTCCAGAACTTTGACCCTCTAAGGTCAGGAATATCTCTTCTGATCATCAGAGTCTGGACTATGTCTCCTGAACACCAGGAGGAAAAACGTGAGAAAGGGCTAAGCCAACGAGTAACTTCTTCCTCCAGAGTAACCAGGAAGACTCGTCCTATTTGCTTATCCACAAGAGCCACAACAACTACAGCAGAATTATGTTATAAAATATGGACTTGTAAGAATGACATTAAAGAGTCTGAATGAATTCCTTGCTAGACTAGGGCTTAACATTTTCCTGATCATGCTCCAAACATATTACCCTTAAAAAGAAGGCTCTTCATTTATACAATATAAGATCTATTTTCTATACGCTCTAAGATCTAAAACTTCCTATCATTCTTTTAAATCAACTATGAACATCAGAAACTTGTTCAATAATTTGCTTCAGTCAAATCAATAGACTATGTACATTTGACATATACAAATTTAAATATTAATGGCCACCTTTGCCTCTACCATTGTTGTGATCAACCATTTACTAATTGCAAAAGAGTTAAGAGGTTAAAGGCCCTGCAAAAGTACAATAATGGAATCTAAGACAAAAAATTAAAAATTTTTGTACAGTACGTCTGGCCAAAAGCGATCTGAGCCACTTTGCTGTGATAGGACCCTTCTACAGGAAATGATGTTATTATCTTCTTTGGGATGTTTTAACGAACAGACTTCTAGCTGCTTCAAAAAGAGAATTCAAGCTTTGTTGGTTCCCTTTTCCTTATTGCTTACCAACTATTATTTAACTTTTTTCTATCATCTAATTTTTCAAAGCCATAGTCTACTTTCTTCTACCTTGAGGAGTACAATTTACACATGACAAAACAAAAGTTACTTATTCATCTTTGTTTATAAAAGGAACCAGGATTTTTTTGAAAAAGCAAAAATGTGCTTATTTACTCTGCATTATTCTTGCAGTTTAAAAATATTGTTTTCAGGGAAGTGCTTATTCCACTGAGCCATCTCCCTGGCCCCTAAAATATTGTTTTCAGACTTTGGGAAAACTACCTATTTTAACTGGGTAACATTAATAAAACTCAATTTTGAAATAAAACTTGACAAAAAAAATTCACCTCTTCCAGATTGGTTTGGTGATGAAGGTAGCAGAGGCATACTGCACAATAAAATTAAAGCAAAGGCATCTTCTTGACTGTAGGAGGCTCAAGGATAAATGTTGAAATATCCCTAGTGGGGAACAAAAGCTAAGTTTATTACCACAGTTTTGGATGTGCTTACTGAATTTTAAATATATAAATTGAATTAGCTCATTGTCATCTACATTATTTTTGTCATTTTCCAGTTTGTGATTGCTGTCCTCATTCAATTTCTAAAAGGTAAAGTTTGCTCTAATTGAACATAGTTTGTAGATCATAATCAAAAAGAGACACTCAGCTTCAGATTGTGCTGAGGCATTGAGTTATATCAAGCTCACAGAGGCTAGAGAACGTGAACAAGTACCTGGAGTTACCCCAGTCAGGACCAAGGCCCGAGAGGGACCCTCTGGTGTCTGTTGTGTATTTGTAAACCACTAGCAGGCACTGTTTACACAGCTCAACCAGGCGCTGGCAACACTGGAGCTGCAAAGGAGTCACCACCTCCGGGCTTTTAGTGAATATGCTCTCCCACGAGGATCTGTTGGCATGGAAACAGACAGGACTTCATGTTTGCTGTTAGAAATGGCAACTAGCTGTATCACTTACCTAGCAACAAACTGATAAAGGAAGATGGAAATGGTCTCACATATCTGTAGTCACTATGGATGATTGAAAAGTATATAACACATGCAGATTATTTTACCTTAACACAAATAATGTACTGCAACTCAATGTGTGACCACTGTGTACTAGGAGAATATTGGATTAATCCTGTGATTATGGCCATTCCTTTTGAAACACTCTCAGATGTAACTGGGCCCAAGATAATCCTGGAGCACTGTTTTGTGCTCTAGAAGTCATGTTTTCTCAGTAGGCAGTGTGTTCTTCCCTTCAAAGAGTCTTATTTATCCCACACAAGGCAGTAGTACACACTTCCTCCATAAACCTTACTCGTATGCATGTGTGTGTGGAGGGGGTGCACTAACAATTCCTAAGTTTACCATCATGACTGAAATGAGAAAGCACCTCTCCCCCAGAGTGTAAGACGAGGGATGACAAGGGAGGGAGCGAAAAGCAGAGACAGGCACACACGGGGAGAGAGCAAGAGTGAGCGAGAGAGCAACAGGGAGACAGAGACTGAGACTGAGACTGAGACACAGTGACAGAGAGACAGAGGGATAGAGAGACAGACACAGACACAGAGACAGAGACACAGACAAAGACATTGCGACAGAGAGAAACAGAGACAGAAGGGTAGAAAGACAGACAAAAAGAGAAACAATGAGAATGAATGAATGAATGAATGAATGAATGAATGAATGAATGAATATGAATGAGTGGACATAAGGCTTATTCTTTAGTGTAAATGAAACTCTTTAAGCTTCAAAGGGCAAACTGTTTCCACTTGGCTCAAGTCTCATTTTACATACACCAACTCATGTACTCCTCAGAGAAAAGAGAATGTTTTCAGAAATAAAAAAAAATTAAGAAAATATTTTTCTGGAAAAAAAAGTCCAATAAGTCAAAAGCTCCACTTTCAAACTATGTGCATATTTGATATATTTGAATTTTCTAAAATGCTTTAGACACACAGCAAGGTATTTTTTTTCCTAGAAACAATAGTATTCACTTTCTCGGGAGAAACACAATCCCCAAAAGACAGCATGTCACTAGTGAACGACAGGCTTTCTGAAGGAGTAAGATTCAAATGAGTTAATTGAAAGGAACTAATTTTCTTCTGTGTTATGAGCTATTCGGGACTAAATACAATATTATCTTAACAAAGGAGTAAAATTTATTTTCACTCAGTAAATAGTGTTAAATTAACTTGATATAAGATATAAAATATAAGCTATCACTAAACATAAGAACTAGATATTATATGTTTCCCTAATATAGATTTAAAATCAATTTAAACTACTCTGACAAAAAGTTAATGAGGTAATATGTTTATAATTAATATACCATAATCAAGAAGGCCCTAAATGCCCGAGTTCAACAAATAACCACTTTAAATAAATGGAAATAACACATACAGAAAAGCCCTGTGTCTTGCGTGTCTGCAGAGCACTGTGCTAATTTCCCCCACGGGAATCCTGAGGGTGTCAAAAAGCATCCCTCTGTATTTATTTTTATACTTTGGAGCTTTTGATTAGATCTCCTATCAGTTCACTTAAATCATGGAAATTTTATTAACCTGGTGTCTAGAGAGAGAAAAAAGAATAAATAAAATGGAATATGGAATATAGTAAGTGGAAATATCGTCGTTTGCCCTAACACCTCCATTTGTGAGTTATAATACGACCTGCTTTGGCTACTCAGTCTCTCAATCCTTCTTAAATCTTTAAAATAAATATATGAATGAAGATCCTATGCATAGATTCACCCAAGGCAAAGAAGCCACATTCTACTGTATTAACACACATCTGGTGGCAGTATAGCAGACCCAACATGAAGAGAGAAGGCAGAGAATGAAAGAGCCCTGCTTCTGCTGGTGCTGGGCTAATGAAGCCCCCTCTGCATGATGAAACCTACACGAGGACATCAGCACTTGTGTCCCCAGCAACAGGCTGTCACCAGGAAGAGACAAATGGAGGGAAAATGGCTTTGAAATATATAGTACAGTATCTCAATGCCAATACAACACAATTTTTTTTTAACAAGGAGAAAGAAGATAAAAAGTGAAATTAGGTGGACTATTGATTTTATTAAAGAACCTCACAATGTAGAAGGGACACACTTTTAGGATACTTGAAAAATAATGGGTTTGTTTTTTCTGGAACAGAGTTCACACAGAGTCCTGAGAGCAAAGACTGAAGAAATAAAAAATAATCAACATATGACAGAACCTTCTATCTATAGGTAGGAAACTGAGATTGTAATGATAAGGGAAATCCCCATATTCTAGGAATGACTGTAATAGTAAGATACATACGGGAGACACAAATGCTTAGATATCTTTTCATTTTACTTGGCTCTTCTTCTACCAAGCCCTTCTCTTGCTTGAAATTCTATCATATTTTCTCTGTGCCCCTTTTTGAAATGATTACATTTATGGATATCGTTTTTGTGTAATAATATCACAGCATATTGATTAAGAGCATGAATGCTGGAATCAAGACTGACCACACTCAAATCTCTGTTCTAGGTGCTTAGCACCTACCTGCATGCTGGATTCCTTATCCATAAGAGGGAGTCAGGATACCTTCTGACTCAAAGTGATGTTATGAGGATTAAACCACTTAACACATATATACAATGCCGGACGCAAAATATTCAACTTAGTATCACTGCTAAGTTTCTGAAGAAGTCAACAACTGCATCAGAATTAACTTCCTATTTCCAAAAACATCTAACACAGTAACAAGTATCTGAAAACATTACAGGAGCCATGGTAGGAATAAGACACCAAAACTAATAGGGCTTAGTAAATAACTAAAAAACAACAATACAAGAAAAAAATGTAAAAGCCTCAGAAATATCCTAAGCCTGTATGACTAGAAAAACAATACCAGGATGAAGGGAGACCATTTTTGAATTAAAGGACATTAGTTTTAGATATCTGAAGGACAGAATGACAATGTCTCACTGCAGCTCTTGCAGCACTGGAAAATTTGAGAGGAAACAGAGTCCAGCTGTAATTTTAAAAGTCTGCTACATAAAGGAAACAGCCACATAACTTGAAAGATGCTGATTTATAATTAAAAGTTTTCATTAATTAAGAATACGATTTCTCCACTGAATTTAAATTAGTTATAAGGTGTTGTGCTCATATTAATCATCTTATCTAAATCAGCTTAATTGATATAAATTACAGTTGAGTACTAACAATTACATGTAGTAAAAATTACATGTAGTAAAATATGCATATTTTAAAATATTATTAAAGAAATTCAACCTTTTTGGGGTTATCTATACAGCTAAATACTAAAATATTTAAAGTTACAATAACAAAAGATGACTTGGAACTTACCCTGAATCACAGAAACAATTCCATAGTCCTTGGCCATGACTCCAGAGTAAGCGATTAAAAACTCGGTTGAAAATCTTATACAAGTTTACTTCTTCAACATCAGGTACCTTCCAGATACGTGGAAGAACTGAACGAATACTTGTTCTGACTATGTCCAAAACCTAGAAGAAAAAGCAAAGTACTTAAAATCTATGTATATGTGTGTAAAAGGTTCAAAGATAAACATACACACACATATATGCACACATACACACACACACACACTTATACACAGAGGGATTGAACAAAAGTGTAGAATAAAATGTCTAGAAATAAAAGCCATGTACTTATGAAACTCTGGTATATGTCAGAAGTGACAAGTTACACCACAGAAGAGCAAAGTGCCCCAAACTGGAGATTAAAAAAACAGAGTCTTTATAAAAAAATGGAGGCTGAATCCTTATTTTATTCAATTTAATGAAAGTAAATTCCAGTGGGATGAATGTCTTATGTGTTAAAATAATAAACCATTAACTTTTTTAATGGAAAATATGGATAAATATCCTTTAGAACTTGATTTAGAAAAAGCTTACTGAAATCACAAAAAGTATGGACCATTAAAGATTAATAGATTTTGATTATGTTAAAATTAAGAAATTCTGAGAGTGATCGATGATGTAGAGTGTGCCTAAGGAGAGTCAGATGGAGAGAAAACATTCTCTCAGGCTTTCACAGAGAGCACATTGGCCAAGCAATGGCCGTGACTCATCCACATGGCTGACACTGACAAAGGTTCTACAATCTGAGGTACAGGATCTCAGGATAAATCCTGAGGAGATTTCACTGACCTTACCAGACCCAAAAGCTACAACTCTTGTTGCATAGGTCCTGCTTCACCTTGGTCTTAACCATCCAGCAGAAAAGTATAAAAATGAAGTATAAGAAGTAAAGCCATGGTGTTATGTTGAGCTGTAGGCGACTCAGGTCAACAATTTCTGACACTGCCAGTCAAGCGGAAAACCCAATACTATTATGGCCTACTGAACTCTTTTAGAATATTTTGCTGAGCTTACATACCTATAATATTTAAATGATGGAACTAAACAAAAAAAGGGGATACAGATGAATGTCCATTTTGTATCTGTGTATTCAAAGTGGTTTGGATAGATATATAGTTGCATTCTCTTAATGAATAGAGGGATTTATTCTAATGGTGTTTGTAAATAGGATATCCAGTCTGCATCTTGTACAGCAATTAACCACTAGGAAGAATGTATGCAATGTGTTAATTACTGAAACTATCCTACCAATTTGGTTTTAAACTGTCTCATTGCTATTTGTTTCTCAATAAAATTATGGGAAAAAATAAAATTAAATTAAGAAATTCTGTTTATCAAAAAGACTTTAAAGAAAATACAACACCACCTTACAAACAAGGAGAATATATGCAAAACATGTACAACCAACTAAAGATTAACATTGGGAATATCTAAGAGAATTCCTAGATTATTATTAATAGAAAGATCTTAAGGGAAACAACCAAAAAATTATAGACACTTCACAAAAGAGGAAATGATGGTGTCCACTAAACATAAAGAAAAAGCAAGCCTATACATTAAGATACCATTTCACACCCATCTAAACGACAAAAAACAAAGGTATACTGCCAAGCACTGGAGAAGATATGGATCTACAGGGTCTCTTAGATGTTTCTGCTGTGATTACAAAATAGCACTCCCTCTGGAAAGCTATGTGACAGTATCTCCTGAATCTGAAAATCCATACAGCCCGCCTCCCAGCAACTTTATTCCTGAGGGAGTCTCTCCATAGTCACAACAGGCAACATGTACAGGAGTGTTCATGCTGCTGTTAGAAACAATCTGACTATAAGATCAACAGTTGGATAAAGAGTGGTGTACTCATTCCTTGGATTATAAAGTAATCAGAATGAACAAAAGATGGCCCATAACACAGATTTTGGCTACATGCAAGCAATTACATAGAGTATGATGCTCTTTGATAGAAATGAAAGAGCTAAATTAAAACACTATTTTGGTGAAAATTTAAAAATATACTAAAGAAACCCAGGAACTGGTAAATGCGGAATTCAAAGAAATAGTTCTCTGAGACTGAAGACCCAGCAGAGACTATTAGATTGGATACATATAGCCTATTATCAGGATCTTAGCTTTCAAGTGTTGGGTTCACAGATGGTATAATAATGTTTAAAGGCACTAAATAAAAGTAGGGCACAATAAAATAAAAAATAAAAGATAAAAAGTAGAGCATGCACAGACCAATAGGAAGAGACTCATGAAATGAGGACTAGGTGATCTGGACAGCTGAAATCAAGAAAGTCCTGGAAAAGTACAGAAAGCATCATGGGAAAAGCTACTCTGTCTCCATAATATGCATTGGATTCACATGCAATACAAGTATTTCTAGAAAAACTCTCAAAAAAGTCAAACATCTAGGGCCAATGAGATAGCTCAGCGGACTAAGCACCTGCTTTGGCAAGCACCGGTACCAGGGTTCGATCCTGGTCCTGCATTCCACACTGGCTCCTCCCGCAGGGCACACTGAGCCCAGGACCAAGTTCAGGGCATGTGAGTCTGGGGGCGTGGTGGCCAATGCCTGTAATCCCTGTGCTGGGTAGGCTGAAAAGAGGATCATTATGAATCTGAACTACCTAGTGAGACCCTGTACCAAATACATAAAATGAAAAAAAAAAAATCAATTATCAACAAATATAGTTATGTTAATTTTAGCCCACAAAAATTGAGTACTTTAAATCTATTTAATTGTGGTAACTGTCTCTGATTATGAGAATGAAATATTAAAACAAAAAAAGACTCTCGACCATGAAGGCTTGTAGGAAGACATAATTTCAACACGAACATAAATGAAGAATTGGAAACAGATGAAAAAATATCTTTCTCTTTAAAGCATCAACACTAGAGCTGGGGAGATAGCCCAGTAGAATAAGCACTTTCCTGGCAAGCGCAGGGTCCTGAGTTCAATCCCTGGTACTGCAAAAAAAACAAAAAACAAACAAACAAAAATCAACACTAAAGACTTGGTATTAATTACACTCTGGCCAAGGAACATTTAGAATAAATGTGTATTTAGAAACCTGATAAAAAGATTTCAAAATGACTTTTACTGTTTATTTATTTACTTAATAATTTTATTGAGAAACAAATAGCAATGAGACAGTTTCAAAACTGATTACTAGCACGGTTTCAATAATTAATACATTGCATATTGTTGTCTTAGTGGTTATTCATTGTACAAGATGCAGACATGATATCCTGTCCACAAACAGTGCAAGAACAAATCTTTCTATTCATTGCATTAAGAGAATGTAGCTGTGTATCTATCCTACTTATTTTGAGTATACAGATGTAAAGTGGTCATTCATTTGTATACCCTTTTTTTGTTTAGTTTGTCAGAGAAGGCTATTCCATTGTCATTTAAATATTGTAGGTGTGTGAATTCAGCAAAATATTCCAATATAGTCCAGTAGTCCATAATAGTAGTGAGTTTTCCATAAGACTGGCAAAGTCAGAAGTTGTTGACTTGAGCCTTTTACAGCTCAGCATATTAATATGGCTTTACTTTTATACTTCGCTTTTATTCTTTTCTGCTAGCAGGTTAAAACCAAGATAAAGCAAGACCTATATAACAAGAAATGTAACTTTTGTATCTGATAAGGTCAGCCAAATCCCCTCAGGATTTATCCTAAAACCCTGTACTGCAGTTTGTAGATCCTTTGTCAGTGTCAGCCATGTATTTTCCTGTAGGAATTGAAAACGTCATATCATAGTGATATATGTGCACCTAGGTTTATAGGAGCACAATTTGTGATAGCCAAATCTTGGAAACAACCAAGATGCCTGCCACCTGAATGGATGAAAAAGATGTGGTATTTTTATACACAATGGAGTATTACTCAGCTATAAGGAATGATAAACTCGAAGCCTTTATATTTAAGTGGATGCCACTTGAAGATATACTCATAAGTGATATAAACCAGTCCCACATATGTAAATATTGTATAGTCTCCTGAGTATAAGAACTCAAAAGAAGAAATAAAAATAGAAAAGTATAACACAATTAAAAGGAAAGCGAGAACTTGAGGATTATACAATGAAGAGAGGGCAAGGAGAAAAGCTAGGAAACATGACAGGGGCAAAGCCTTACATTTATATGCACAACATGGGTAAGGCAATGATCCTGAGAATCTTCAGCAAGTTTTCAAAACTAGCAGTTAATTGGTAGGAATCTCACCCTGACTGACTTATATATGCTGATACCTGTGAACTAAGCAACTGCACTGAAGATAGCAATGTGTAATAGTAGGGTGGGTCTTGGAATGCCTGTCATTCTGTTCCTCTAAATATGTACTGCTTGTCATAACATATCAATTACATATCCTGTACTGTGTCTCAAGTAAATGTTTGTTTTAAAGAAAAAAGGTAATAAATGAAAACAAGAGACAACATAAAAAAGTCACAGGACTGTTCTGCTACAATGCTGTTATATGGTTAGATTTCTAAATTTCTGTGTAAAAATATGTAATTGTTTATTCCTATTTTTAAAGATATTTTTAAATTTTTTTCTACATATTCTGTAGGGACTTAAGTTTAACATATCTATACTTGATGGAAAATACTTGTTCCATGTTACATCTAAGATGTTTGATATTTAGAGAGTGAGGTTATTCCCAACTGCCTAGGTTGTAGGGTAATAACAACAAGCTTCTCTTCTGTAGGGTTAACAACCTACATTTGTAGACCAAAAATTAGAGAAAAAGAAGGGCTGTAAGGACAGCCAACATTTTGGCCCTAGCCTTCCAAGGTCAATTAAGACTCAGGACATATGAGAACCTGCACTGTAACATTATGTAACTCAGTTGCGTCCCAAATTTTCTGATCAAGGAGATTATGGGGCCACAGAGGAAAGTGACCGATGATGTAGACTGTGCCTAAGGAGTGTCACATGGAGAGAAAACATTCTCTCAGGGCTTCACAGAGAGCAGATTGGTCAAACAATGGCTGTGACTCATCTACATGCTGACTTCTGTTTAGAAGAATACAGAAACAGTTG